GTCTAGTTGAGGGAGGTCATTTGGGGAATTGCAGTTTGAGACTGTCATACTAGGGACTCAGGTAGGGAGGTAAGACTGCAGAATGCAGTCCTGGAAGCTCAATATGAACATGGGATTCTCTAGAGTTCCTGTGCACTAAATGGGGAAATGAGACTAGAGGCTTTTCTGGGGACTCCAATTAGAGGACATAAAGTTTCAACAATCACTGTGTCTGTGAGATGTCCTCAGATTTTAGTATGAACTCAGTCTTCATTCTCATGAACCCATCCTGAGAATCTCAGTATGTGAATTCACGTCTGGGAAGCAGAATGGGGTGACCTCAGGCAGTGGGATTCTTTCTGCAAGTTGAGGCTGGGAAGATCAGACGAAGTTTAGGGACTGGAGAGTATAACTCAGTGGCAGAATACATCTATGACACCCTGGGTTCAATCTTCATACTTAGATCCTGATATAGGTAACTCAGTTTGGAGGACAAATTAGGGCATTATTAGGCTTAGCATTCAGTGAGTGGAAGAGAAAATAGATCCTGAGTCTGGGAGACTTGGGCTACGGAAATTATAATCTGGAGACTATTTGGAGCTCAATTCAGGCAGCTCAGTCTCAGTACTTGGGTTTCACAATAGAGTGTGGTTCACAATCCAGCCTGGAGGTTCAATGGTATTGGTCTGTGGAATGGATCTGGAGAGTTGTTTTGGGGGGGCTCAAGCAAGAAGTCTTGGTCTGGGGGACAATAAATGGGGATACTTTGGCTACTCAGTTTGGTAATACCCATCTACAGAATGGTGGCCGAGGAGTTTGTACTGGAGGAATTTCCTTCTCGGACTTCAAGTTGAGTGCTTTGATACTGAGAGTTGAGGATAGGGAGAGCATTCTAGAGGGTTATTCTGGTGACTTAATTTGAGAAAACTGGTGTGAGGGGTGAGGGGCTGGAGTGAAGGTAGTCTTCTGGGCTGGTCCCCTGAGAACCACCAGGAGTATTCCTGAGCATCACCAGGTGTGGCTCCAAAACAAGCAATAAAAAAATAAAATCAGCCCCAAATGAGTTTACTATGCTCGGGTTCTTTTTTGTACCATTCTTAAACTTAGTGTGGGGGAATCTATGAATGAGACTTCAGAGTGGTTCAGTCTGAGGCTTCAGATTGGAGATGTTAGTCCATGGGCTCATCCCAGAGACTCAGCATGGAGGCTGCTTCTAGAGAATTAGGCTATGTAACACATCCTGACATCTGAATAGGAGCATTCCCTTGGGGAAGGAATGTTCTTATTATATGGTGTTTTTCAACTCTGAAACTTTATAGGGTTTTGTTTCTTTCCAGGGGTTGAGGCTTGGTAGCAAAGAACGCCATCTAATTGGAAGGAGAGGGCTCATTTTGGGAAGTAGACATAACAATGAACACAACTGTCCAATTCTGATTCTTGTGATTTTCAAGACCCAACATTCTCTGTCTTTCCTCTTGCTACTTTAGGGCTTATCCTCTTAAGTCTCCATTGCTGATTCCATCTCACTTAGCTCTGGCCCTGTCCACTTTTCTTGTTCATTTACACCTTATATACTTAGTATTTGTGGCCTGCTCCTTGTCTTTGGTTTTTGTTTTGTTTTTGTTTTGGGACCACGCCTGGAAAAGCTCAGTGATGACTCCTGGCTTTGCACTCTGGATCATTCCTGGAGGTGCTCACGGGACCATGTGGGATGCTGGGAATAACAGAACCCAGTTGGCCAAGTGCAAGACAAGCACCCTACCAGCAGTACTATCTCTCATGCCCATTATCCTGTTTGTGACTTTGAATGCTATGTGCCAATGACACCTAAATCTCCATTCCTGGGATTCTATTTTTTTTGTGGGAGGTCTTACCCAGCAGTACTTAGGGACTACTCCTGTTTTGTTGCTTGGGAATACTCAGGCAACCTGGTAATACTCAAGATCTAACATGCCATCTGGCAGCTTACTTTAAACATGTCCAAAATCAAAGTTCATCTCAGGAATCATAACCACCAGCCCCCAATCTGCAAGTCATTTTTGACTTTCTCCCCAAGCCACACTAGTGTTTTCAGTCTGACTTCCAAGTATAATATGTCTTCATTGACATTTCTCACTACTTATATTAATACCATCCTCGATCAAGCCAACTTTTATCACTTGTGTTATTTTTTCTTACTTAGATTAATGTGAAAGGCATCAAACTTGTTTTTTGGCTCCCTTTCTGCTCCCCAAGTTATCCTGATCAAAACCTTTCCATGCAGAGGTAGAGCAATAGTACAGCAGGTAGGGCACTTGCCTTGTGTACAACTGACAGAGATTCAAGCCCTGGCACCCCATATGATCCCATAAGTACCACCAGGAGTGATTCCTGAGCACAGAGCCAGGAGTAAGTTCTGAGCATCGTCAGGTGTGACCAAAACACAAATAAATCAAAAAACCCATTTCCCCTTTCCGTGGCAGGTCTTTATTCCTCTGAGTACTAACCTATGGACCATTTCTTGCATGTGTGATAAACTTTATTTTTTAATATTTAATTTTTTATTGATTGAGATTTTTTGGTTTACAATATAACTAATATTGTTTTTTCATGCATATAATTTCAACAAGGTATGGTAAATTTTAGTGAGTTTTCTTTCACTACTCTCAAAAGCAATTAAGAAAACAAGCACATAAACAGAAAAACAACCCCCAAAAGTTTCCCAAACTTTCCCAGGCCTATCCACTCCAAATAAAATCCCTTCCCTTAGAAGATACAGAAATATTTTTCTCACATGTGAGACTTATAGACTCACAGCAAACAAAAGTCCAAAGGCAACATAATGGGGAAAATGTTTCACACAAATAGATTGTGGGTCGGTGGTTGAGAGGAAGGATGTTGGAATCCTTGAGGAAGGTATGTGGGTACAATGGTGATGGGTGTTATGTTGGAATTATGTGCATGAGAAGCCATTATTAACAGTAGCACTGTCCTCCCATTGTTTATCGATTTGCTCGAGTGGGCACTGATAACATCTCCATTGTGAGATTTGTTGTTACTGTTTTTGGCATATCGAATATATCATGGGTAGCTTGCCAGGCTTTTCCATGTGGGCGGAATATTCTCAGTAGCTTGCTGGGCTTTCAAGAGGGGTAGAGGAATCGAACCCGGATCAGCTACGTGCAAGGCAAACACCCTACCCGCTATGCTTATTAACAGTATTTTCAATAAATCTCAAAAAATTAAATCATTTTTCTTATCTTAGCCTTCTAAGTGCTGCTGCTCTCCTGGAGCAAGGGAGAGAGCTCAATGGGTTAAACATATGCTTTTCATGCAGGAAGCAATCTCTAGCCCACATGGTTCTCTGAGCAATAAAGTATCTCTCAAAACAAATAAAAGTGTTGCTTCTTTCTCTTTAACCCTATCTACCATTCTACCATACTTAGGTTATGGTTAGGTAACAATAGATCTCTTGTTGGTCTAAAGTAGGGCCAGAGAGGTCTAAAGTAGGGCCAGAGAGATAGTATAGTTGGAAGGGCACTTGCTTTGCATGCGGGCTGGCCTGGTTTCAATCCCCAGTACCACATAGGGTACCCTAAGCTTGGCCAGGAGTGATCCCAAGGTGAAGAGCCAGGAATACCCTGAGCACTACCAGGTGTAGTCCAAAAAGTAAAAAACAAATAAAAATGTGCAAAGTGCTACTCCTGTCACCATTCCATTCAAATTAAGAACTCCATATCTATGGTTACCTCCCAAAAGGTGCTCCCAAAAGGATGTGTGTTACTCCTTTCTATTCATATTTTACTTAAATATTTTGCCATTTAGAGAGACAGCCCAATTTAAAGTCACTGTCATATTCACACTCCATATTCTCTGAATCACAAATAACACTTACCTAATGTTCTAATGTATATGTATTAATTTTATTTATTGTCTACTTTTCAGACTCAATCACCTCCAGAGATTAAAAATCTTATCTGTCTTTTTCACCTCTCTATCCTCTGTACCTAAGGACATAGCTGTAATATAAATTAAGAGATAAATGAAAATGAAACTCTGAGGAAAGTTGGGGAGGCTCTAGAGAATTCTCTCTGACTCATACTGGAAGAATCAGAATAAAACCACTTCTGGTGGTTCATTATATGAGAACTCAGTCTAGAGAGATCCAAATCTCAAGCGGGCCCAGTAACGTCTCCATTGTGAGACTTCTTGGGAGGAGATAATATGGGGCTCAGTCTGGGTGCTCAGCTTTTTTGTTTGTGGACCACACCCAGCTATGCTCAGGGCTTACCCCTGGCTCTGTGCTCAGTGATCATACCTGGTGGACTTGAACTCTGGTCGGCCACCAAGCAAGGCAAGTGCCCTACCCGCTGTATTGCTCTGGCCTTGGGTGCTCTGTCCAGATTTGAGGATCGTCTGGGAGGTTCATTTGGGGTAGTGACTAGCAGACATGAGTAAACCTCTAAACATGGCAGAGGGGAAGTCAGGGCTTCATTAAGTCTTTCTGGGAGATCAACTGTGGATATCAGTAGAGAGGACTGAGCCTGGTGAAATCTGAGCTCTCAGCCTAGTGGTTCAGGTTCAAAAGGGCTTTAGGTTCATTTTCTTTTTGGATCTGGAACAACTTCAAGATTGCCCAATAAGCACATTCTCACTACCCTACTCCTTTATTCCCTACTTCCTAAATAAAACTATTAAATTTCATTATAAAACAAGTTGAGGGAATAAGTACATTGAGGTCTTAATCTCAGGAGTGAATGGCTCCCTGTGGGGAATAATCCTGGCAGTTCCCTCAAATTCTGAAGTTCCAGTTGATAAATAATGACAGGAGACTCATCTGAATATTCAGTCTGGGTGATCAGGTAGAAATAGCAACATGGAACTGGGGAAAAAATGAATATGGAGGTTCATCCTAAGTCTCACTCCAGAACATCAATGTGGTCAGTATGGAGTTACTTTGTAATTCAGGATCTCAATTATGTGACAATGGAAAGTTGTTCTAGTGAGTTAAGTCTTGACCGCACCCAGATATGTGCACTTACTTTGAGCATCCTTGCTGTCTGGGGAGCCATGGGGTAACTTTAACAGATAATCTTTGAGAAGCAGCTCATAGCGGGGGATGCGCTGCACAGGTTCCAGCATGTGGTGCTGCAATGTCAGGTTGCCACAGGCTTCCTCCTTCTATGACAGAAAGAAACACAGGGTTCATATCTGGCTCAGGAATGCCTACTGAATCTCTAGAAACCTCACCCCTCACTCCCCATTCAGTTTCACTGCTTACCTGAACCTCATGGATAATCACTTTAAACTGTGTGGAGCGTTCTGTCCAGGTATTCACCAGCTCCACAGCCCGGTCAAAGTTCTTCACATACTCGCCATACATCTTGAGGAAGGGTGCAAGCTTCTGCAAGATGTCTCCAATGCGTGGGTAGCGGTCCCTGGTGTACAGCAGTGGTTGACATGGTCCTGCCAATCCTTGTCTCCCAGTATCTCTACCCCTTTTGTCTCTCATTTCAGTCCTGGAATATACCTCTCAGCTAGTCTATTCCTTCATAAATACTATCTAGTTTCAATTATTGTCCAGTTAGGCCAAGAGGCTCAGCATGAGCTGGTGTACCACTCACCCCAACTCTGCCTTGTTTGGACATCAGGAATGACAAGTTTTGTAATCCCTGCCCTCCCTTTACTGCAAAGGCCACTTCAATTGTTGATTACTGACACTGTACTGGATAATTCTGTGGACACAAATGAATCACACTCTGTCAAGCTTTAAAAGGGTGACTGCCAGGGGCTGGAGTGATAGTACAGCGGGTAGGGCATTTGCCTTGCACGTGGCAAACCCAGTTCAATCCCCGGCATCCCAAATGGTTTCCCCAGTACCACCAGGAGTAATTTCTGAGTGCAGAGCCAGGTAACTCCTGAGAATCGCTGGGTGTGACCCAAAACGCAAAAATAAGGGTGACTGCCAGGCATAAGTGCTCTACCCCTCCACATGGAGCCACTCCACCCCACCACATGGAGCCAGGAGTAGCCCCTGAACACCTCTAAGTGTGTCCCAGAAACCAAAAAGAGGATAAACTGGAAGAGGAGAGTCTCAAACTTAGGCTTATTCTTTTGTTAAAGGCATAGAGGAGAACAGGCAGAAATGAACCCTAGTACACACACAGCCCTGAACTTGGTAGGCAAGTGAACAGGAGCCTCTCACCATTCCTCCATACGTTTCTCTAGCTCAGGCAGTAGGAATTGCTGGTGGAAGCAGTAGATGGAGCAGATGTTAGAGAAGATGCCATGGACAACATCAGCTGGGAAAGAACTGCGGTTTCGAGCTTCTTCCAGTAGCCGGGCACAAAATACCTGTGGGAGAGGGGCAGGAGGGTTAAGTTAACTTGGACCTTGGCTAAAGAAAAAGCAGTTTGCAGGTTAGGGAAGTGTTTCTGCATAGATCTGTAAACTCCGGGGTCAACATTAGGCATGAGACTGAGGAGATAGGTAAGGAATCAAGTTTCTATATTTTCAAACTTATATGTGGGGTTGTACTATACATTGTCAAAGTTAGGACCTGGGAGAGGCATTAGAAGTTAAGATCAAGGTCAAGGGCAGAATTAGATTCATGGTCAGAAAGGTTGTAATTAGATGCATTCTTTTAACAAATATTTCTGTGTGGGGAGGGCTGGAGCGATAGCACAGCGGTAGGGCGTTTGCCTTGCACGCAGCCAGCCCGGCCAAGTCGGGTTCGATTCCTTCACCCATCTTGGAGAGCCTGGCAAGCTACCAAGAGTATCTCGCCTGCACAGCAAAGTCAGGCATGCTACCCATGACGTGTTCAATATGCCAAACACAGTAAGAACAAGTCTCAAAATGGAGACGTTACTGGGCCCGCTTGAACAAATTGATGAACAAAGGGAGAACAGTGTTTGTTTGTTTGTTTGTTTTCTGTGTGAGGAAATTGTCCCCCTAACGTTAGCCCCAAGATTGGGATAGTCCTCTAGGCAAAACATTTTAGGTCTTTTACAATATGATCAGCAAGTAAAATGTGCCTAGAAAAGAATACAGGGCAAGCAAAAATGTACCCAAGAAAGAACAGAACAAAACAATTTTGGATCTTCTAGATGTACAGGGTAATATAGGCAAACATAGAACATGAAACTGTCTGGACTTTACTCTTTACTTTAAGGATGCCTACTGATTGACTATGTGAAATACGCCACTCTCTGCTCTTCAGATGCACACTGAATTCCGATGTGCTTAATAATTCTTCTTACTTTCTCTGTCAACTTAAACAATAACTCGTGTTAGGAATGGGGGTGAAGGGGCAATATTGTATGAAAAAATGTCATGCCATGAGCTCACCAGGCAACCCTAAAACTTGGGACAACCCTTGTGTTTGTCTCCTTGTATGTCTGTTTTTCTCATTCTCTGCAACTGATACATACTGGATGGAGGTCGAAGGCACCAATCCAAATGGCTTCAGACTTTTCTGAGTATGTCTATTGTATGCCAGGTACTGCCACCAAGGCTAGGATAGAATCATGAACTAAGCAGGCAAATACCTTCAGGTATTCTAGTGAATTTGGGGCCAAGAACAGAGCTAGAATGAGGTTCAGGCTCTGGTGTTTAGCCTGGCACAAATTGAGGATCTGAATAAGAGCTGCAGTCAGGACTGGTTTGGTTTTGGTTTTCCAGGGATTAGGAATGAAGATACAAAGATCAAACCTGAGGTCATAGAGTTGGCGTCATGGATAGATAATGTCAGATAAGGGTTTTTTCACTTCTAGATTTTAGTCCTAATAGTGAAATGCTAGGTTCCAGGTAAAATGCTAGGTCCCAGGACCCCAGAACCCCTGAGAGATCATTCACCTGATCCAGGAGATGGAGCCTAGAAACATAGGCCTTCTCAGTTTGCAGGAGTTCATTGGCAATGTGGAACACCTTCTGTTGCACGGTCAACTAGAAAGGAGAAGAGGCAACCACCAACCCATTATATTATACCCTAACCCTCACTCAGGTCCCATGTTTCTCAAGCAACTTTAATGTTATATAGCCCGATTCTACCCTGAGATAACCATATCTCCATTTCTAAACTCATAAGTCCTTTTATTATCACCCTTCACCTCCCATTGTTTGATACACCTCACTTCTAAGGCATGCCTTCATTCACCCAACCATTCAGTATAATGTAATGGTTATGTATGTGGGCTGGGAAATCAGACTTCCTGGGCTCAGATCTGAGCTCTGCCATTCATTAGCCTTTGTGCATTGTGTAACAGCTCGATATTTAAGTTCACTTATTCACAAATACAGATAATAATAGGATCTACAGGCACATGTAATTGAGACAAATAATTTGATATAAATAAAACATAGCAAACTACAGGTTAAAAGTCTATAAATGCCAGTTAGTTATTAATTCATCCTCTCAGTTCATTGTCAGCAAAGATTTGGGTATGAGGAAAACATGAAAAAATAAAAGTGTATAAACATATCACTGTTGGTAATTTACTATTCATTACACATATATTAGTTGAGTCTCTGGTCTGAGCCACAATATTTGAGTTGGGTTCTGGTGGAAAAGTTGGAAAAATGCCATTGGAATCAGTGTTTTGCTACCAGGGCACAGAAACAGGTTTCTGCTGCCAACATGTTCATCTCCACAGTCTCAAGTCTCTGGATGTCACTAGCTTCTATGCTTCTCCAGAGGCATGCCATTAGGAAATCTCTATGAATGTGGAAATAAGGAAATTGAGACTTGTGGGAAACTGAGATGCTTAAGACAAAAGTGGGAAGAAAATTGTCCAATGTCACAGAGCTATGGAGTAATGGGTTTTTTTTTATATGAAACAAGACTTTAAATTAGATTCCTAATTCTGGGGAATTAGGAATCAAATCTCCAAATTCAAATCTTCAATTCAAATCTTCAAGATTTGATAAACTGAGGTAAAGCATAAGGATCTCTGATAAAAGAACAACTTTCCTGGTGGGCACTTAGAACTGTGAATTCTGGTAGTCACAGTGATGGTGCCAGGTGGAATGAAGTGGGGGACTGCTACTTTTATATTTAGTATGAGAACACCAAAGAGGATATATATATATATATATATATATATATATATATATATATGTTATCCACAAAATAGAAACAAAACCCCATTTCAAGATACACTGGGTTAGAGGCAGAACCAAGCATAAAAAGCCAGGCTCCTGGTTTCTCCACATGAAACTGCCTCTTGGTATACATGAATCAGTACCTCCACAGACTCCTGTCTCTCCATCAGAGGCACTGAGATTTCTCTGTCCTTTTCCTCCTCATCCTCCTCCTCCTCCTCCTCCTCATCGTCCTCTTCCTCCAGGTCACTATCAACCTCTTGGGAGCTGGGCCGGTGGGGATCAGCTAAAGCAACAGGGGCACTGGCCAGGGCAGGGGGCCCAGGGCAGAGGCTGTGGCCGGGGGGACCATCATCACTGACAAAGCAGGTCTCCTCACTGTTGGATGGCGAGCTGATGCTGTCAATGCCGCTGTCCCGGTTGGGCACCTTCTCACCATCCCGTGGCCCAGGAGCCAACAGGAATAGGCAGCGGGAGGCCTCACCCTCGGAGAGCTGGGGCACTGGTGGCTGCAGAGGTGGTTGTGGCAATATGGCTGGTTCTGTGGAACCTGGGCTGGGTCCAGGGGCTGGCCTATCCAAGGCAACAATCACAGGTTCTCTGAGGTGGGTGATGAACACACATGAAAACAAAGTATCAGCTTGACTTGAAGGACTGTCTTATAACCATTCTCCTTGTTTCAAGCCCACTCTCACCCCAACAGGGTCCTCCAGGGACCAGACTCACCTTTCAAATTTCTCAATCAGTGAGGATACCGCTGCAGAACTGGGGCTGACCTCTGCTCTGGAGGCCAGACCCTTGGTCACTCGGGGATCTGCAGGCAATGGTCGTGATGGTGGAGGGGGGATAGGCTCAGGTGCAGGGGACAGCCGGGGCATCTGCAGGTAGCTGGGCTTTGGGGGCACTGAAAAGATGAACAAAGAGGAATCCCAATAAGATGTGTCTGGAGGTGACTGTCATGGCCAGACCATATGTCTCTGCACAACTTCCCAGTCTGCACCTTTGTCTAAGCAGGTAAAGAAAAGGCCTGGGGTGAGATTATAGTATGTGTACATTATCTGGCCAGTGTTCTGGGACCCTTCTCTGGCCATTTTTCTGCTTCTTTCTGAAACCACTTACCCTGTGGCTTTGGGCCTGGCGCCCGCTTCAATGGTGAAGGACGCTGGCTAGGGGTCTCAGTGGGAGGTCCTGGGTCAGAGCGAAGGCGCTGGGGACCTTCTGGATGAGGCTCAATGCTCTGACCAGGGTCCAAGGACAAACTTTTAACCAGGATTCGGTTTCCCTGGTGCAACCCTGCAGAAAGAGAGAAACTGGGTGTGAAGCAACTGACTTTGCCCTCAAAGGGACTGGGGAGCAGCAAGTCTAGAGTGTCAGGTTTGGGGCTGGAGCAATAGTACAGCAGGTACTTGCATGTAGCTGACCTCGGTTCAATCCCCGACATTTCATATGGTCCCCATATGGTCCCTCAACACCACCAGGAGTAATTCCTAAGTGCAGAGACAGGAGTAACCCCTAAGCATTGCTGAGTGTGACCCCCCAAAAAATAGTTTCAGATTTCCCTGAGTCCTTTTTGTGATCAGACTAACCTTCTGGGAAATCCCTGGAGATCCAGGACCGGGACTGTGGCTGACTGTTCTGACCAACAGACAAAGAGTTTTCTGTGATTAGAACATTGATAGTGTGCATGTCATTGGGCATTATTACTAGGGAATGTGAGTAGTCTGGGATGGGATCAGGCATCCTACATTTTGTGGATGTGTTTTTAGCTATTGTTTCTATAGCTCCAGTGGATACAGAAGCCTAAACTTCTTTTTTTTTTTTTGCTTTTTGGGTCACACCTGGCAATGCACAGGGGTTACTCCTGGCTCTGCATTCAGGTATTACTACTGGCAATGTTCAGGGGACAATATGGGTTGCTGGGAATTGAACCCAGGTCAGCAAACACCCTACCCACTGTGTTATTGCTCCAGCCCCTAAACTTTATTTCTTAATGCCCCTGAATATATCTGGAATTTCTTGTCTACAATTTTATACAATTGCATGTATCTAAATACTGATAAAGTTGTGAGTGAAGTTTCACTTCTTAAAATCCCAGCTTCCCTTAATCAAGACTACCATACTGTACTTCGGGCTGGAACGATAGCACAGTGTGTAGGGCGCTTGCCTTGCACGTAGCCAACATGGCCGACCCAAGTTCAATTCCTCTGCCCCTCTCAGAGAGCCTGGCAAGCTACCGAGAGTATCTCGCCCGCACGGCAAAGCCTGGCAAGCTACCTGTGACGTGTATTCGATATGCCAAACACAGTAACAACCAAGTCTCACAATGGAGACGTTACTGGGCCCGCTCGAGCAAATCGATGAACAACGGGAGGACCGTGATCCCATACTGTACTTCACATCCATATCCATAAACACCCAGCTCTCAGAGTACAGGTCACAGGAATGCTGAAAGTAGACTATAGACCGAACATGATTGCCACTCAACTCCTCTTTTGCAAACCACAGCACCCAAAAGGAGAGAGAGAACAAAAGGGGATTCCCTGCCACAGAGGCAGGATGGGAGGGGGGTATGGGGGATGGGAGGGATACTAGGATCAGTGGTGGTGGAGAATGGGCACTGGTGGAGGGATGGGTACTCGATCATTGTATAACTGAAACCCAAGCACAAAAAATTTGTAAATCTACAACTGTACCTCATGGTGTTTCACTACTAAAAATTAAAAACAACAATAACAAAAAAAAAACAAGCAATGAGGCTGGAGAAATAGCTCAATGAGGTGAGCACATGCTTAGTCTGTAGGAGGCTCTGTTCAATGCTCAGCACTGCCTGGTCCCCCAGAACTGAAGGAATGAATTCCATGAATTGAGACAAGAATACCATCAGGGGTTATACAATTAACAATAAAATACAAATAAAAATAAAGCATCAGTAAATTCGGAGAACGGAAGACCTATTAACATTGACCCTCTTATAGTGGGCTTTCTAAGTCTTTGGCCCTAAGGGAGATAATGGTAACAGTTGTGAGTGAAGATTCAATCTAGGAGGCAGAGAGGGAATATCAAGGATGCCATGTCCAAGTAAAAGAGTGTGTAGTGCAAGTGGGCCTGGTTGGGCAGGGAGCTGTATATGGTCTCAAAGGATAGAGTTGTGAGGGGAAAGTAAAGAGTGTGATTCCTGGATGCCAGGCTAAGGATCAGTGAGCAAAAAGGCCACTATTTAGAGTAGAATGAAGACAAACAAGTGAACAGATGTGAGATGGGAGGCAAGGAGAGAGAAAAGTGAGGCAAGAAGGAGAGAAGGGGATGAAGGGAAAGGGAGGGAGAGGATGAAAAGAGGGAAAAGGAGAGGGATAGAGAGGGAAGAGAGCTAGAGGCGGAAGAGAGAGAGAAAGAGAGAGAGAAGGGGAGTAAGAGAATAGCAGGTAAAAGATTCCAGTGTAAATAATATCACAGCTACAGAGGTTCTGGTACCCTGTTAGCACAGTTTCATACATGACTATTCAGAGCCATATAGTGTTTACACTGTTTCACACAACTGTGGAACCACACAAATTCAAACACTTAATCACATATCATCACACACCTGAAAGCTTGGTCACATTGTTGCAAAAACCCAGTCACAGCCTCAGACATTACAGAGCAGCTTGCTCTTCAAGCCCATGTTCTCCCTTGAACATATATCTTGCTTACTTGTTTTATGATTCTTTGTGTACTTATTTTCACTCCAACTTTGGAGAAGCGTGTGTTCGCTCTTAAACATGTACTTCTCCCTTTCCATCCCCTCACATCTTTCTTTTTATTAATGATGAATATATTACTTAACTGTGTGGTGAGCATTTTATGTTACATATATAGTATATATGTATATAATTATGGGACACTTTAAACATGTATAATTACTTATCAAATATATTCTAAAAATTAGAATAAGATAAAGCATGAAATTAGGGGCTAGAGTAATAGTACAATAGGTAGGGCATCTATCTTGCAAGTGGCTGATCCAGATTCAATCCCTGGCACCCCATATGTCTCCCAAGACTGTCAGGAGTGATACCTCAGCCCAGAGCTGGAAGTAAGCCCTGAGCACCACCAGGCATGCTCCCAAAACAAATAATCATGAAATTAAGTCACAAAAAGATAAAATTGCATAATAAATATGCCCTCCTCAGAGGCTGGTCTTATCTTCTAATATTCTTCTAGTTTATAGCCTCACATGCTATAATCATAGTCTGAATATATTTGGTGTTGTGCTTTGTTTTTAGCTGAACAGTTCCATAAACAATTAAACAATAGCTATCTTTTTATCATATTTGTATTAAAGCACTGTAGTTTACAAAGTTATCCCTAGTTGCGTTTTAGACATACACTACTGTAGCACTGATCCCACCACCAGTGTTAACTTCTCTCTACTAATGTTCCCAGGGTCCCTCCCATATTACCACCACTCCAGCCTGCGCTCTTGACAGGCACCTTTCTAAGTCTCATTGTTAAAATTTGGATCTCTTAATTTTAGTGTTGTTTGATATTTATTGTATGGATATTTGGCTCTACACTTACCTTTGTACCTAATTCCCCTGACTTGGCCCTGATTGCTTCTCATCTGTCTCTTTTCCCTTTCCTCTGCACTCTTTCATTCCTTCTCCTCCCTATACTCTAGGGCAGGGTTGATCAGGGCAACCCCTACTTTAAAACATTGCATTATCTCATCCAATTATTCTAAATACCACATGTAAATGAATCATCCTGTGTTTATCCTTCCTCTTCATTTAACATGTCTTTCAGTTCTGAGAGAGAAGAAAAACCTTAAATGTAAGGGAAATAGCATAAGAATCAAAACAGATCTCCCATACAAAATGATACAGGTGAGAAAAAGGTGGAATGACATATTCAAATTACTGAATGAAATAAACTTTCAACCTAGTGTCCATTACCATTTAGATGGGAGGGAGGGATAAAGACATTCTCAGATAAACAAGAGCTGGTGACATTTGTGATAACCAAACAGACCTTGAATAAACTACTGAAAAGCCATTTATATAAACCAAATGCCCTATAGAAACCACAGTAAAATGGCAACACAGCCCTTTTCATCATTAATATCCCTGAATGTCAATGGACAAAACCCTTCCATAAAAATGAACAGAGCTTCAGATTGGATCAGGAAACAAAATCATTTGCTGCTTACAGGAAACATCTAAATCACAAGATAGACACAGGCTCAGAGTAAAAGAATGGAAAACAATTATACAAGCCAACAGTAAACAAAAAAATGCTGGGACCACCATTCTTACATCAGACCAATGTGCATTCAGAAATTAGAGACAGCGATGGCCACTGGTTATTGATCAGGGGAATAATAGTCAGAGAAATACTAACTCTAATCAGCATATGTGCACTAAATGTTGGGTCAACCAAGTTTGTATGACTTTTGCTCACAAACCTAGAGAAACGCATGGATGGAAACATAATAGTAGTGTGAGACTTCAACACCTCACTGTCACCACTGTATAGATTGACTAGACAGAATATTGGGAAAAACAAAAGAGCCCTAAATGAAGAATTAGAAAAGCTGTGACTAATGGATGTATAATACATATCTAAGAGACGCATGCTTCTGAAAAGTTGAAGAGTGAAAATAAGTAAGCAAAGAATCATAGAGACAAGTAAGCAAGATACATATTCAAGGGAGAACATGGGCTTGAAATGCAAGCTTCTATGTAATGTCTGATCCCCAGCACTGCATATGGTTCCCCTCAAGTACAATCAGGAGTGATCCCAGAGCACAGAGTCAGACATAAACCCTGAACATCACCAAGTATAACATGAAAACAAACCAAAAAAAAGAGTGTGGGTCATCATTTTGAAATATCTGATTAGATGGTCCTTAAGATCCCTTCCATCTATGCTATTTACCTCCAACCCTATCTTATATCCTCTGGCATTTGAATGGCAGCCTTAGAGGTCCCCTTTTCCACTCTCTGGAAGAGCCCAATCTCCTCTGATATGAGAAGGCTAAGGAAGATGACTCAGGCAATACTTGTGAGAATTCCCTGAACTGCATTCTGCCTTTTGTTCTGACCGGTCCAGTTCATATGCTTTCCTATAGAGAAAGCCTGGAGAAAAGAGAAGAATTGTCAGAATTTTCAGAACTCTTTGAACTCATTAAAAGTGAAAGGTATTCATTTTTAACAGAAGACTATGTGTTGAGCATCTGCTCTGGAATAGGCAATGTGTTGATGATTTCTTATGTCATCCCATTAACAATTCTGTGAGTATATTAATTTCCATTTTAC